TTTTTTTTTACCAAATTTTCAATAGAGAAAAATTCAGAGCTTATTTTTTTTTTTTAAGTAAATATACATATGCTTACAAATGTCTTTTGGTTAAAAATAAACTAAAGCACAATATATGAATTTTATTTTAAATATTTTAGTTGAGTGTTTTTCTTTATTGATACAATATAAGAATTAAAAATAAAATAAGGTAATAAATAAGCCAATCTTTAGTTTAACATATATTATCTAGGCCATTGAAAATCCTTGCTAGGTATATAAATACAGTCTCACATTCTGACCAAAGGGCTTCGCAATCAAAGCATTTCAGTACAAGTAAATGCAGTCAACAAATAATGATGAAGACAATTTCGATATAGTTTACTTACTAACGAGACGATAATAGCTAATAAAAGACAGAATAGCAATGAATCGTCATATTTACTAACGATACCTAATAATCCATGAAAGACATAATAGCTATTCTTTGCCCTGTGCTTGCAGCTCATCGTTGGCCTAAGTGCGCTGCCTTTGCCCACGAGCGGCTTCTGGTGGCCCAAGCCGACAACGTAAGTCAGCCGGACGCTGGGGAATGGGCAGCTAGCAGTTGATAATGAATGGCTTGCTTCTTTGTTCGCAGGGAAACGCCGCGGAGTCAGGTGCTGCAGCAGATACCACTCACCTACTTTCGCACCTACACCTACCAGCCGCTGACGGGCGGTGCGTTCGGGGTGCCGCTGTTCGGCTTTGGCGCGGCACAGACGCCACTGCTCGCGGGGCGGCACTATGACCCCTATGCCCAGGTGACCAGCTACGCGGCTGCTCGACGCCATGATGTTGCTGGTGGTGCTGGTGCTGGTGCTGGTGCTGGTGGTGCCGGTGTCTTCAAGACGGACATAACGCCGCCCGCTCTGGCCAGTGCCAGCAGCGCGGTGCCCAGCACAACGCCCGCGCCCACCACAACGACGACAACAACAACGACGCCGGCACCGACGACGACGACGACAACAACCACCACGACGACCAGCAGCACCACGAGCGCACCACCGCCCAGCAGCAGCACCGAGGGCTCGTCCTCATCGCTGCGCTACGCTGCCTACAATGCGGAGTATCCGACCTACAGCCGTCGCGTGAACAATTTGTATAATGCGCGTCCGCAATATCCGTATCCGGATTACTTCAACTACCAGCCGCAGAACGCGTTCTCGGAGAAGGGCGGCAACCGCATCCAGTTCGTGCCTTGCATGTGTCCAGTCAGCATGCCAAGCATGTCCAGCATGTCCAGCATGTCCGGTCTGTCGGGCATGGGTCTGAATGGCGCCACCAGCTCCGATCGGGATCGGCCAACGGGCGTGTCCATTAGCAGCGGTCCTGTCGCGGCGGCGCCGCTCGGAGCCGCAGATGCAATGTCCGCGGAACGCAATATTGTCGCCCTGCAGGCGCGCCACATTGACAACGACGAGGCTGACTTGGGGGACGAGGCGGAGGAGGAGGACGAGGAGTCTGATGCGTCCGCAGAGGCGGAAGAGGCTGACGTCGCCGTCGGCGTTGCGCTTACCACAAAAGTGGCACTCGAGCCGCAGCACACCACGCCCAGCACCGTTGAGTCCAACAGTGTGGTCTAGCCCTGCCCCGGCCACGCCCACCATAGTATTAGCAACGCCTAGACTGATTTGTACAACGCTCTCGGGTGGCCAGTTCCAGCGACAGTTTGGCATTCTTCCCCACTGAACTAAATCCTTTGCCTTGGAACCAATTTTTTTTCTTCCTAATAAAATATCACTAAATGAATTGCAGCTGGCCGAGTGTTTGATTATATACTTGAACTTATGAGAATCTCAGAGAAGGGCGCAATACTTGGCAACAGATTTTAAAATAAAATACCGATGAATACTTTTGTTACTATCTCTGTCAGTCTCTTTCCCTATCTCTCTCTTTGGCATCTACCAGCTCTATGCGGGGTATCTGCTAGTCAGGCATTGCCTACTGAAATTACTTTTAATTTAATTGTGTTCTCATTTGCTTTTTGTTAGTTTTAAATTTTGCATAATTTAAAATGATAGCCAAGCAGCAGCAGCAGCAGTCGCAAATCTGATGACGTCAATGCCGCAGGAGTCGGGTGCGTTGACCTAGACGGCGACGACATGAAAGCCTTAAGTGATTCGGAAAATTGCGCATTAAGTTCGTTATTCCTAAGGTGTGAAGAGGGCTAATTGTGTGGGAGCTTCCGACGTCCTTATTAGCCAAGGGCAACCAAATGGCGGGTTGAAGAGCCTCACGCTTGAATCGCTTTTAAATGTATACAAATATACATTACAAAGGCTTAAAATATACATTTAGAGCAGGCAAGACTGAATCGGACTCTGGCTGAAAAAAAAGAAAACACTTGAAGCTAATTCACGGGATTCAAGTAAGT